CGAAAAAAACTCCACAACATTAAAAGTCTAATGTAACAACATTTACAATTCATTATGTTGTTACAACGTCAATACAATTATGATTTATTTAATATAGAAAACCTGTTGGAATGATTGGAACAGTTCAAACCCAAGCATTTTTGTCTGTAATATAATCAGACACTTTGTAATAAGCTTTTTTAATAAGTGTTTTTTTTACAATATCTTTAAATTTATTTATGGCTAACTCTTGGATATTGCTTGGGACTTTATTGTATAATTTATTAAAATACAAAATGTCACTATGTATGTGTGTGTAGGTTTTTACTGGTGTTCATTTTTGTCTGTCACATAAATATTTTACTAAATCTGCAAAGGGTTATAAATGGCTTCAATACACCTACTTCCTCGTAGTAAAACAAGAAAATAAGACTGCACTAACAGAGTTCCAAGATTTTCTAGTTTCATTGTTTACCCTTGTCTATTACTGGACGGAACAATTTATCACGGTAATGACTTATATTGAAACGGCGAGGCATGCATGTACGACAACGGACGCGCGGTAATGATACGGACATGTTGAATGTCCGGTCCTAAATGGAAACATAAGACTGGTGGACTTTTTTCCATTTAAGTTATACTATAGCGTTATTAATATTTGAGTTTTGGCAAATACTTAATGTTTAGACTGTGATAGTTTTAGAAATGTTTAATGCATGCTTATCAATCTAATATTTTGTCTCTAGATTAAACTTAAACAGTTGACACATAGAAAATGTTAATACATTTCATTCATGCCAATTTCCATGAGTAGGTTTAAAGTAGTATTTTAAAAAGAGCTCTTCCTTTTCTTTTAAAGCAGGACAACGTGTTTACACGGTCCCCCTCCCCCCTCCCGGTGTTTGGGAATCAATCTACTGAGCAAAAATGACAAACACTGTTCTTGTGACACAAAAAAATATACATATATACAAAAATTATGAAGATAAGCTTAATCGGTTTAAAATAATAAACATCCTTTATCCGTGTACCTCGAATGTTAAACCGATAATATTCTTATATAGTTATCTATGTATTAAAATGATAAATAACATAACAGCGATAGTCCCTGAATTGAATAAAATTGTAAATAAGAAATATGGCTCAGCAAACAACCCATGAGTGTGTATGAGTTATTAATATATTTCAAGCTTCGGTCATACTTGTTGAAGATTTATATTTGCTAGATTAATTTAAGATAGTTGGAATGAGAGGAGCTCGATGGCGCAGGTGGTTAGCGCGTTCGGCTGCGATCGATGAAGTTAAGCTACTTTCGCAGTGGTCGGTCATTGAATGGGTGACCTAAAATCTTCTATCTCGAGTTCCTCCGTGCTTCGGAAGGCGCGTTAAGCCGTTGATCCCAGCTGCATCTGCAGTCGTTTGAACCCGCCAATCCGCACTGGGCCCGCGTGGTAGGTCATGGCCCAATCTCTCTATTCCATCTAAAGGGAAGGCCTGTGCCCCAGCATTGGGTCATAGGCTGATGATGATGAGTTGGAACGAGTATATGCAGGATGTTGATGTTGAGCAACTTCTGCAATAGAATAGCCAGCCAGACATAGAATGAATGACCAAACGTGGAATATCTCTAGATTTTCCGCAAGCCACATTAAGCTGTGGGTTCTGGCTGTAGAAAAATACTTTACATAGAGGGAATGGTAAAATTGAAACTGTTTGGGTAGATCGGTACCTACTGTTCTAACCAAACCGCAATCCAACGCGTGTAAGTGGGACAGTAAATCATATTTGGATCTGGTTTTCAATCCACGAAAAAAAACCGGAGAAGGTTATCAAGTCGATCGCGTTTTTTTTTATGTATGATCACGCATAACTTTTTACAGACAAGTCTGATTTGGGTATTATTGGCAAGGGTATACTCCGAAGTTGATCCCATATAAATTTGGAAAAATATCCTTTTTTAGGATAGCTCCCCTACATATAAAGTAGGGGTGAATTTTGTTTTCCATCTTTCCCCCATCGTGTGCGGTATCATTGAATAGGTCCTTTTAAACGACTTGCAAAGATCCGTTTGTGAAATATTAAAAATTAAAGTGAATATATTCACTTTAATTTTTAAAAAAAATTCGAGTGTATCCCCTCTAATAGCTAAACTATTGGCTTGAAAAGTCTGAAAAAAACATGATAATAGTGCATTGTATGAACTTTCAAAGTAAATTATGACTGTTAAAATAGATAAGTTAGTTAAAAAAGTAATAGTCGTTTAACTTAGTTACTAGAAAATTTCTTACCTAATAAAAATTCTTTACAAGAACACATTAAAAGTAACTCAGATGAAGTAATTGCTTGCGTATTTAGCGTAAAACCTTGAATTGAAAAGCGCACGACACGCACATAGCCGGATTTTTTTGGAAAGGGGTTATAGGTACCTAAAGTTTGTCCTAGATGAATGACAATGTCCACTTTGTATGAGAATTTGGCTTAACATGGACAGACATTTTAACATGTAAAACTACAATGCTAGAAGCTAAAACTAACCAGAATCTTTGAATCATTATGATTTTGTATCAGTATCCTTTAAAACAGTTTTTAACACCGCCATGTAATAAGGCAATATAAACACAAATAAGTTCTAAATTTTCGCAACGATCTATAGTATTCGAAGTCATTTTATTACCAACACGATGTCTAGACACTGGGTAGATACATTTTCTGTTACACAATTACATAAAATCAAGAATTAAACTAATAATTAAATTAAGAATTAAAATAAATAATAATCTATTCTTTAAGTCATCAGCATCATCAACAGCCTATCCTAGTCCACTGCTGGACATAGGCCCCACCAATTGCACGCCACTCAGATCGATCTTGGGCTAGTCGCATCCAGCTCCTGCCATCATTCTTTAAATATGCCGCAAAAAATTAATATTCCGCACTAAGGCGTGCGATGTCACGTGCATAATACCCAACGTCTAAACAAAAAAAGGTTATCTTTTTTTTCTCTAAAAATAAAGAAGTTGTCCTAGTAGGTCTAGTATTATTTTATTAAGGTTAACTTGTAGTTAAATTCTTATATTTGGGCAATGAAAAGCGTTCGAAGTTGGCCACCTCTGCGTGTCACATTGGCTAGGCTAAATGGTTACTGACTAAAATAAGGTTAACCCGTAAGCGGATTTTAACCCGCTTACGGGTTACGGGCACGGGTCATCAGGCCACCCCGGCTTATTTTCGTATTACTAAGTAATACTGAAATTATAATTTGTAATTGTTGTTAAGTGAAGTTATCTGGGTTAGTTTTCGTGTAGAAATAATAATTAATAAAAAATCTAAATATACCACATGTTTGATTAACATTCGTGAATTAATCTGAAAGTCCATCTTTTTGTGCGCTTAGATCTTAGGAACTACTCGACGGATTTGAATGTAGTTTTCAGCAATAGATAGTGATTTAATATGAATTCAACATTATTACCAATACAATTACCAACATAAATAGTGTTTACTAACTTATTATTAAACAATTATGTATAACCGCAGTTTCAGAATACTCATTGTTACTTATCTACTGATATTAGAGCGATAATTAATTTATCTTTATGTTATAAATATTATACAATCTAAAAATAATTTTACCTAATCATTATAGACTAGCGACTAACATTAAAATATCAACCTCTAGCCTTTACTGCAATTCAGTTTAAATTGTTCGTCCCCTAAAATTGATTGCAATAAATAAATATTTGGCAAATCAAAAGGCCTTATGCAGAAATTGTCATTTAATCTATATAATAATTAAAAAAAATAAGAAATCCAAGCTATCCCATCCCTGATTGGATTTTGACCGACCGGGACGAATGCACTTACTACACTGTCTATTTTGTGCTAGTACTACTTGAATATGCTACATAGTCTAAGGCCCGTATAACAAAATGACAACTAAGCGTTGATCTTTACTTGAGTACAGTTAAAGGGATGTCGCTATGTGCTATATATAACAATATCCCTTTCTGACTATGCTCAAGGCTAGATTAATTACTGAGAATCTTTCTATAATACCCAGCCAGTTGTCATTCTGTAATACGAGCCTTTGACATTTCTCTAGTATTTTTTCTTTTAATAAATATATCTTCATGATGGCCCAAAACTTCACACACACATACACACACACCAAAAGAGTCTAGGCAACATGTATCATTTATGCAAACGGCAAGTTTTATCAGTTGATATTTTATATTGTCGTTTTGAAACGTATTATTTATTCAAATATTTTCTTTCTTTAGGCATTAATAAATCAAATTGGTTATTCTAATTATTAACAAAAGATTGTAAATATTAAAAATATTAGATATTAGGCAAAAGTTCAAATAAGTTCCTGTTGCTTAGACTCTTTTGATGAGTATATTTTTATTGTTCAGCGTACTCATAAAACTTATTGATGAAACACTCATATCTATAAAACTCAAAGGTACTCAAACTGACTGACATAGTGATCTATCAACGCACAGCCCAAACCACTGGACGGATCGGGCTGAAATTTGGCATGCAGGTAGATGTTATGACGTATGCATCCGCTAAGAAAGGATTTTGATCAATTCTACCCCCAAGGGGATAAAATAGGGAATGAAACTTTGTTAATTTTAAACCGATCGGGCTGAGACTTTGCATGCAGGTATAAGAAGAATCCTAGATGAATGTCATTGTGTATAATACAAGCCTGAGAACAAAAACTGTAGTCTACACTTCAGCTCTACACCGAAGCGAAGCGAGGGCGGGCCGCTAGTCAACTATAAAGATAACAAACATAAATACCCCAACCTTTTCAGGATCCGTGTAGTCACGTGAATTTCCCCACAAATGATAGGACCAAACTACATATCCCCCGTTCCCCCCTTATCGTTGTCGAATATAATTGGGTAAATCCATTTTCTGTCTTCTTACAAAAATCCGCTTATCACAATCCCCAGATATTATTATAGCTTTACGTAGATTAAGATACGAATCAAAATCGTTCACTACCGCAAGAAACGTTTGCTTGGAGTGCAGTTATTTTTGTTGTGTGTCTATCTATGTTCTGTTCATTAATTGTGATACGGTTAAAATAATACATGAGCTATTCTGTAGTGAAATACAATATTTAACTTTGTAAAGTGACATGTGATGGAGTTATATAATATATTAAACAGTGTCACTTTTGTGTGAAAAAAAGAAGTCTTATCATGAAATTGAAACAGACGTGTATCGCTATGAAGATAGGTTTGTAAATATTTATTTTCATTTGTAATTTGTGTGATACAAATATGTATGGAATCAAGTGTCCTGAATTTCTTGCTGATTCTTCTGTCCCACGAGGTCTTCCGCTGTTTATTTGCAATACAAATCGTTATCTTTTTGCATTGTTATTATGGCTAGTCTAGGCTAGAAATATAGATGATAGACCGTGTTAAAAATAAACTTTAAACACATAGAGAGTGACTATATTTCTAGTTTACTGTATTTCAGGTAATGATTTTACGGTTATTATATTTCTTATTATAAAATTAATGTGCATACTAGCTGTGACCCGCGGTGTTACTCGCGGTTTATTAGGGAAAATTCATTTTCATCGATTTTCCCATGGGCATAAGATATTTTACCGCAGTAAACCGTAGCCTATGTGTTAATCCAGGGTGGCTGCTAACTCCATACCAAATTTTATTAAAATCGCTCCAGTCGTTTAGACGTGAAGAAGTAACAAACATACACGCTCACAAACTTTCGCCTTTATAATATAAGTGTAATACAATATAAGGTAACAGTATTGAAAAAAAATATAGGACTAATATTGCTTTATCAAACCAAACCACAATACGCAAGTTGTCCTATAAATGTATGACGCAAATTCGGTCACCGGCCTGTCGTCAGCAAATTCACGAGGTCACCATAATCGTTTGTTGCGGGTATTTACAATCAGAATTTTTAACAAACAATTTACCTGCACAGCTTTTTATTGCTTCTGAAATGAAATATTCACACGAGTTTTATTTATGGCACATTTTGTCAATGTGTAATTGTGCCGATTGTGCTTATTGAAGCAAGTTTATTTCTGACGCCTTACAAATGTAAGGTTTCTTTACGCGTTGCCGTGATTATATTGTGCCTTTATAGGCTTTCGCCGTGAATGAAATTTTTATTTATTGTTACAGGCTGAATTTAGCTGCGCGTTATTAGAGGTTTTATAAATAAACTATTGGGTGCCTGCGATTGTCTGCGTTATTTTTTTTTCATATATACTTCAAATTCCCGTTTAACCCCTTTAAGGAGTTTAAAAGTCCTTTCTTATATCACGACTACATCATAATATGTAGCTAGATGTGGGCCAAATTTCAGTTTTAAAAGTCCTTTCTTAGATCACGACTACATCATAATAGGTAGATGTGGGCCAAATTTCAGTTTTTAAAAGTCCTTTCTTAGATCACGACTACATCATAATAGCTAGATGTGGGACAAATATAGTTTTTATAAGTCCTTTCTTAGATCACAGCTACATCATAATAGCTAGATGTGGGCCAAATTTCTGTTTTTAAAAGTCCTTTCTTAGATCACGATACGATAATTGTAAGTAAATATCTTGGTGGTGGTGCGGTGAAGTATTATCCTTACCATAATATAAAAACAAAAATGTTGCTATTACCTTTTTTATATTGGCCATCTCTCGATACCTTTATATAAATTATACCTACTGCCTTTGGCCAGATGAATAATATATTTCTTACCTACATTTTCATATTATTACAAAGCAATAATACTTGGCGGTCCAGCTCTAGCAATAGCTTTCTCTTATGCACCAACAAGATCTGCAACGATTTTCCCTCTGCGGTTTCCCAAATTGCTACGATATGACGGGGTCTTCAAATGGCGGATAAACCTTCAACTTCTAAGTCGGCAAAGGGTTGATCTACCACGTTACGTAACTATATTGGCATGAAAATATTGTAAATTTTGATATTTGAAATCCATTTGTATTGATTAAAATGACCAGCTTACTGACTAAAACTCTATATTATTTGTGAACATATCCTTAATTTCAAAAGACCTTAAGCTAATAATCGAGATTTTACATTAACTTCGAACTGATGCAGTTAGGAGTTCGATGGCAAAAGTGGTTAGCGCATTAGACTGCGATCGTTGAAGTTAGCAACTTTCGCATTGGTCGGTCATTGAATGGGTGACCATAAAATTTAGTGTCTAGAGCTCCTCCGTGCTTCGGAAGGCACGTTAAGTTGTTAGTCCCGCCTGCATCTGCAGTTGTTAACACCCACCAATCCGCACTGGGCCTGATGGGTCATGGTACAAACTCTATTCCATCTATAGGGAAGGTCTGTGCCCCTGCAGTGGGGACATTAATAAGCTGATGATGATGATGACGATGCAGCTAAGTGGTTAAAGGGCTGATGTCTGGGTTCTGCAAGTGTCCATTATCAGTTTAACTACTGATAAGACGAAGTGTTAGCTCGTTTGTCTGCGTAAAATAACAAATACATAAAAGATATAATGCCTACTCTAGATTTTATTGCTAGTTGCAAAGCGTTTTTCATCAATACCATTACGCATCTTTTATTGCCGATCGTAATGCGTGATTACTCCTTTCCAACCGACCGATGTGTTATATTACTAGTATCTAAAGCCCGGGGCACACATTAGGATGGGCGATGGCGATACTCTTGCTAGAAGACAAGTCAGAACAATGCAGTGTTGCCAAGACCCAATAAGCAAAAGTAACACATGACTATATAAAAAGTAAAATCATTATTTGCAATTAAAAAGGTAAGGCATAAATGACGTTCTGAGTCAGGTAAAGCAAAAGAAATGCCACAGGGCCAAAAATAACGCAAAATGTTACAAAGATAACGTTCTAGCAATGCTGGAATTACATTCAAAGGCGAAAGCCGTCTCTGCCCGTTACAGTTTCGTCTTAATGAAACCGTAATAGGCATAACAATTTTGTAAATTGTAAAGAGGTAGCGCATTATTTCAGTATTCTAAAAGACAGAAACACGTTGATCATCAAGCTAGATCAACAATTACAGAAGATTTATATAAAACAGTGATGAAAAATTGTCTGACTTAGAATCTTTATGTGTTAATCTAGCAGGTCGCTTGCATCGTTTACAGGTATTGAGCAACTAAATCGGGAATATTGTAACTAAATAGCTACTAATTAACAACAAAATTAGTTGGATGTGCTCATCGCGACCATGATCTGCTCGCTTAATATACGTACGGGACGATCTGCCCGTCCCGTCAGCTGCCTGGTTCGCGTGTTTTTTTTGTTGTTGTAATATTTTCTTTAGATTTAAAGATCGAGCAGTTACATGCTTAAAAATAAAAATTATAACCTTAATATAAATTATACTGCCTGTGTCCAGATGGGAAATATATCACATATATTACATTTTCATATTATTACAAAACAATAATATTTGGCGGTCTTAGCTTTCTCTTATGTACCAACAAGATCTGCTACGATTTTCCCTCTGCGGTTTCCCAAATAGCTACGAAATGACGGGCTGTCCTGCTTAGAAACACTTGCAAATAATATTTTGGGTTAATATTAAATAAAACGCTTTATAAATTTCGCATCCTTTTGTGGTAAACTAGTGGGAGCAGTGGAAGGAGACAAATACCATTACACAGGATGTATTCTATTTGGTATCCTGCTTCCTGAAAAGGATGCGGAATGTAAAGTTATGTAAGAAAGTAACAAAAAACGCATTTTAAACCCACTAAAAAGTAGTTTTATTTATTAAGTGGAGTGCGTGAAAACATCACCCTAATATTATAAAGGCGAAAGTTTGTGAGTGTGTATGTTTGTTACTTCTTCACGTCTAAACGGCTGGATCGATTTTAATAAAATTTGGTATGGAGTTAGCTGACATCTTGGATTAACACATTGGCTACGTTTTACTACGGGAAAATATCTCCAATAAAGCGCGGATAACACCGCGGGGCACAGCTAGTAAGAAATAAATAATAGCTCGCTTGACGATATATCTCGCCGTACGTGTGACCATACCCTTAGGCCTGTCCGTTCTGTTGAAATTAGGTTAAAAGTATCCACTCCACATGCACAGTTCACTTTTGTTTGTCTTTTTATTTACCGGCGTCATTCCTTTTTGTTAATTGCGCAAAAACGTGTTTTTCGTGGTAGGTACACTACGCATTTATATTCATTTTGCAAAAAACTATTAGTAGTATAGGTCATGAATCTTGGAACATCGGAACGCGAGATCCTATATTACAATTTCGATATTAGGTGGTCCAATATCGTAATATGATAATCATGAAGGTTTTCTTCTGACCTTTTTTATGTATAATAGGCAAGGCGTTTGACCACAATCTCGCCTGATGGAAAGCGATGATGAGGCCTAGGATGGTACACGCCTGCCTAGAAGATGCCTGTTTACTCTGGCCTTGATGCTTTCAAATGCTTGCCAATAAGTGTCGTCTAGTCAAAATAATAGTATCAATATTTTCGATGCCTGTATTATATATGATAAGTTCTCTACCCAACCAGTATCTTTGACACCTTTTCTACCGGCCACGGCCACCCTTCCCAGATTAATATACTCAGTTGAAGCCCTGTTTACGCTTCGTCAAACATACGCGATCGCCACTCGAGAACCTATCTTCCCCAATGAACGCCAGTTCTCCAAACATTCGGATTGATTTTCCTACTGATCTCCTAAGCTATGCCATTCCGTATAGGGGTAGAATAGAAAAACCCCGCATTTGCTTGATTATGGTATGAAAATAAAGAAGCCTTTTTATAAGTCAAATCGTTATTTGAGAGGACTGCGTCTTAGTAATAGTCAATTTTTAATGTAGCAAGCAACACTCAGACAGGTTAAAAACTGCTGGTCTGGAGATACTGCGGTTATTCAACGAGACATGTTTTGTGTTTATCGTATGCTTCCCAAACGTGCAGAATTCTACTTATTCCTGGGGGCCAATCGCCTAACTGGATTGCTTTGGAAAACGCTATCGCTTACGATTTCATTCTGTTATTTCTAACCGCCGAAATACCTCACGCTCATTTTCTTTAACATTGTTATTACCAATGCAAAAGAAAAAAAAAGAGCGCGAGGCATTTGAAAACCTCAGGGGGCTAGAAATAACAAAATGAAATCGTAAGCGATAGCGTTTTCCAAAGCAATCCAGTTAGGCGATTGGCCCCCTGGAAGTTGACTACCTAACTTCACTGTCTTCCCCAGGTGTATAACCAATTACACTTGGAAACTCAGCCGACCTCCGTGGCCGAGTGGTTTGTACGCCGGGTTTCATGGTGTCGCCGACTCGAGAGGTCTTGGGTTCGAATCCCGGTGGGGGCAGATGTTTGTGTAATGAACACGAGCTTATGTACTCCAGTTATGAATGTTTAATATGTATTTCTATATAAATATACTTATATATGTACTGTATATGTATTCTATCCGTTACCTTAGCATCCCATAACACAAGCCTTACAGTGCTTACTTTGGGGCTAGGCTAATTGGTGTGAGTGTTGGAAATATTTATTTATTTATTATTTTCAACTTCAACCTTCAGAGCAATAACTACGTCGAAGTTGTATATTTGTCTTACGCATATGTTAGTACCATCTTGAGAGTCTCTGTTAAGGTCTTCGAGTATTGTGCCGAGGTTCTCCAACGTCTTAGTAAAATAACAACCACGATGTCAACAGAAATTAGTAAGATATTCACAACTGATAATAATTCATCTTAGTCCAGATGTATCAAAGCCTCTTCCAAAGCTGTAGGTATAGTATGTCTCACTATATCGGGAAATCTACATGGCATCGCTAGACACATTGTAGCATGGTCCAAGTATTGATCAATTAATTTAAGATTCCATAGAGTCTACAATATTTTACCATAGTGACTGGTCTAACTCCTTCGTCTGTTATATAACCTGGCCCAGCCTATGTATTCCATATATATCTAGTCTTGAAATCTTTTCCCATAACCTGCAAGTGGGACAATTTATTATAATTCTTGAAAAGATATTGTAATCTTGGTACAAATTGATCGATCGATCTGTTATGTAACAGTCTACAGTACATGTACCAAGAAAAAAATCCGTTTAAAAAATAAACATTCTTACACTGCAGACATTACATTTTGTAATATTTTTATTTCAAATTTTTTCTTTACTTGCACATTTTACAACACATGTAGGTCTAAAAAGTTTTTTTTATATCGATTCCTTTTTTTTGCATTTATAACGATATGTACAATTCCTCGACCTTAATATCGGAATTCCGATATTGTGATCTTATATAAGAACTCAATATTGGAATTGAAAATCTTCCGATCACAACCAATGATATTGTTAATTATATATCAAAGTACGAATATTTTATATACCTACTAGTATTATATATTCGAAAATGTGTGTGTATTGTGTTTGTTACCTCTTGACGCTTAAACCACTGAACCGATTCAGATGAAATTTGGTAAAGAGATAGTTCGAGTTCCCGAAAATGAGTTTTTAACCCTAGAAATCATCCTTTAAGGGGGTGAAAAGGGGGGTGCAAGTTCGTAAGGGAAGTCAATTAAATCAAGCACACTAAGGCTCGTATTACAGAATGACAACTAAATGTTGATCTTTACTTGAGTACAGCTAGAAAGGGATGTCGCTATGTGCTTTAAAAAGCATAATCCCTTTCTGACTATGCTCCAGACAAGATTAATTACTGAAAATCTTTCTATAATACGCGCCTTAATCGCGTGCATCCTTTAGTATTACACAGGCTATTAATATAAAATTTGTTAATGTGATTTTCATCACAATTCACGGCATCGCTAAACCGCGAAACGTTTTTGCCAAAAGTAAAATAATTATCTCAAGAAACGTCTACCCAATTGTGGGCCCTAAGCAGTTGTGATAACGTTGAATGTTTCCTGTTTCCAGCGGAGCTGAGATGGTTGTGGGAATCGTGCAACAAAACTGAGATGAATCAAGGCGGTCTAAAGCACGCAGCCACCGAGTCACGTCTCGACAGCAAACGTGAGTCACATTGCACTGAATAAATATTTAGGGAAGCTACCCTAACTCACCTACACTGAATAAATATTTGGGGAAGTAATCTCCACCTTACAGAAGGTTACAGTGAAAGTTTCCTGACCTTCACGGGGCAGCGTTAAAATTGATTTCTATAGGTATATCATTATCGACATCGTTGCCCATCCTACTCTAACTACAAAGTAGATAGTTCAGAAGGTAAATAGATACTGCTCACGGACACTCCTCGAATCACAGATCTCGGACAAAGGCATATTAAGCCGTTAATATTGATAATTAATATTGGTTGATATTTTTTTTTATTTATTGAGCTTTGGCTATGGATGATTGATAACCTAAATCGTCAACCAAATGTCACTTCATAAACTCGATTTAAAACTTGCGTTTACATAAAGGATACAATATGTTCGTACGGGACCTAGTAATAGTGCATGATTATTCATTACTACTCCGGCGGTAATATAGAGATGAGAGGAATTGAAGAGCTAGATTCTGATTAATGTTTTTTCTCACAGTCTTAATAAATAAATATTATTAAAAATCGGTTGTTTTTTTTCTCAAACTTAGTAAATAAATTTTATTTAAAAAATCTGATGTTTTTCTCGCTTAATCTTAGTGGATAAGTTTTATTAAATAAAATATTTTTTTGCTAACTGATTCTCAGTTAAGAGGTAATCGGTTGTATGGAAGCAGCGGCACAGCAAAAAGTGTAGATATTTATATAACTATACCACTACTTTTAGCAAGACAGATGATTTTAAGATGATCAGTCATTTTATTAATTTATTCTCGTTTTACGAGACACCAGGGGTGATACTGAGTACAGGGTAGAGACAAGATGAACTTTATTGCAATGCGCTTAGAGCGCATATTAGGATGTAAAGTACTTTTCCGTGCAATCAGATTTTAGTGGAATAACGATATAAAGCTAAACAATTATCTAAAATTATATGCAATTGTACATTCTCTTAATAAATTATCATTACTGTTATTGAGCTATTGCTTCGTTTTTATAGTTTTGTTAGTAGTCTGGCACCATAACAGCCAGGGGAAATATGGCAGGGGAGATGGCATTTTCGCTAAAAATCTAAAATTGCCGTAAAACTACTAATTTTACAAAGATTACAAATAAATAAAAGGTTTGCAGCACTATTTAAAATAAATGTATATAGATATTGTAGTATTTAAACACATATAATCGAAAAAAAATACCAGGGTAAATACTTCGATCACTCAACACGGCTGCACTCATAGTGCACCGTTGCGCAAATGGCCAAAAAAATTGCGGATGGCTTGTGCAGCGCTTGCTGCTAACTTCACGTGACACTCGGTGTCTTCAAGGTCAAAACTAGCACAGACTATGGTAAACAAATACGATTTTCAAACTAAACCTAAGTCCAGGGGGCGAGACACGAAACTCGAAGGACACAGTTTGCGATTAATATTTTTTATAAAAAGTGCAAATATAAATGAATTTAATGGTTACCTACTGTAACTAAGTTATCAGGGTTCATGTTATTACCGATAGAAAAGTAATATTAAATTTCAATGGACTCAAAATTACTGATTTACAAAAAAAAACGGTTAGGGGACAACCCAGGGGAGAGATGTTTTTCCTCTTTGTGCTGTTATTGTAAGTAAATTATGCACATTTAGAATATAATTTTAAGTGACAATTTAGAACACATTTAGTTAATTGAAATGATTAAGATTTTTCCAAATATGATGATTTTTTTGGCTTAGCCGTCGAACATACCTCTTAACTGAGAATCACCCAGCTATGACGTCATAATATGGCGTCCAGTCGGTCCTATTCTTAGTTGAATCGCATTATAATGGCATTTTGGTTAGATTGGTAGTCTTCGCGCCACCTCAAGCGCGTACTTACCCAAATGGACGCTCCGTGCAGACAATAATTCGCTTTGCCATAATTTAATAAAAATAAAATATTTTAAAATTGTAGAACATGTCGGAAACGCAGAAGTCTACATCCCTATATATTCATTCCACCTTCTCGAAATAAAATAGCAATATGAAATTGGCAATGTTACACCAAAATTGATGCGCCATTGCATTGGGCACCTATTGGTTGGTGGCACTTTCCCAATTTCAGTTTCGGACAACCCGAACGTTTGCCAAACTTTAATGTTGTTTTATAATTGTTATACATTTACACCGTTTAACTTAAACGAAACTCTTGACCCTTACCTCCTTAATAATAAACGAAGAATAAGCGGACTAGTTGTCTCTTTTCATGTCATTAAAAATGTAATTTGTGTGATGTGAACGAAACACTGTAATTAGTTCGTTTTAAGTGTAGCATGTAGTTAATGCTGTTCCGATAATATACATATTTTATAACAAGTTACCAAAAGATATACGACAAATCGATATTGTGGTTAAATATGAAGTGACCTTAAAAAAGATTTTAGTAAATAAAGCTTATTATACATTAAAGGAATATATATTTAAGTGATGTTGAAATTTAAATTATTATTTATGTTTATAATTAATAAGATTCAAATAATCTATTATATTGTTTGACAATGATGATGCGAATTTGTCATAATTTTATATTATGCTTAATGAATGGAATAATTGTAATAAGTTTTTTTTTCTTCTCAACATGACAATTAATTTGCACACCCCATTGGGTAAGAATATAGGATGCTCTTTATCTCTGTATCACCATTTGTTACCATATTCTGCAAATAGAGATGATTAATGTATAATTGAGTTCAATAATATTAGAACTCTTTTGGGGACTGGATCACATTGGAATATGTAGCATGTCTTTCGCTTTGTCTTCGATTTTTGTGATAACATTATTTTAGGTAAACGTCTGCAGCACCTTAATTAACTTACGATTGAAAATGTACTTGACATACTATACTTATTCTGTCTGTTTCATGTAATCTGTGTCTGTATTATGGATTATATGATTCAATGACCTTAAAACATCTTTAAACACACATATTCATTCTTCTAAAGAAAATGGTGATGCCGGTCAAATTGCTGGACCAGCTATTTTGGCATCTAGACTCCTTTGGAGTGAATGCATTTGTTCGGAGGACCGATTTGCATAAAATGAAAAAACGAGCGAGCCTTATGCCGTGATCACACGTACCGAAGAAACGGCCGAGACAGTAAATTGTTTCTCAGCCGAGACAGTGATGGAAGTAAAAAAACTCAGGTAAGAGCGCTACGCCGAGCACTCGGCGCTATATTTATACGTACCGAGTACTCGGCCGAGAGTCTGTCTCGATCGTTTGCTCAGTACTTGTGATCAAGGAATTACAGTAGTCTATGCGACTACTGTAATATTACTACGTATTATATTAATTGGTCGAATGTTTATATGTCCGAATTGACAAAAGCATACTTTTAAGATTGCCGAATTTTATTTAGCATAATATCGCTAAGCATAATCGGTATTTGTGGGCAGTGGGTTAGGTTAGTATTGTGATCTAATCTTAGCCAGTCGCCATAATAGATAATGGTTCTGCTTTTCAATTATTGTGAATATTAAATGTGTGCCTAAAGATGATTCTGGCTTACAAAAGTATGCGTTTTAATTTCTGCTAGATGAGTGAATGCCACATAATTTTCTTCGAAATGAAGTTTATGCCATCCGCTGATATGCATAATAATATGACATTTAAAGTTCTGCGTTATAATAGACCCCCCGATTAAACTGTATCCGTTGTTAGGCTATTACTATCTGAACGTATATGTGGTTGAGGCTCAAGCACGAACTTTGACAGATCTGTAATGGTATCGTCATTGTCAAGTTTTGTATGGAAGGAGCTCTAGTTTGTTTTTACGTCCGGTAGGGGCCGGTGCTTAGTTTACGAAGAAACTTTGACGATGCGATACTATTGCGGAGCTGTCAAAGTTCGTGTTTGGGCCTCAGCTGTCGCAAGCTATGTTTTTTTGTCTTGCAATCCGTAATATAGTATTTACCTTTGGAAAGGCTATGCCTCTGACCCTGACTGCGTCAGCATTCAACCATACTGCATTGGAGTGGTGACGTCATAGTTGCTTCATAATTATGCCACTTGGGTAGTAAGTATACACACGTACGGAGACAAAGCTTTTATAGAGCGGGCGGAATTTCCCTTTTTTTGGTAGGGTTGACACGGGAGAATAAATTAAAATAAACAAAACGTTTCAAATATATTTTGATTAAGTAAGTAGTTATGCATGTTAGTAATAATAATACTATTTCTCGATACCCGTGCCACTAAACCCAATAGTAAGAGCGAGACCATCAGAGGGTAGACTGATATATCTGCCAATTACACCTACCCGCAATTATTTACTTCAGTTACTACGTGATCATGGCGCTTGCAACAGTGCCGAAATATCGGAAATTCATAAAAAACAAGGTACATGGTAACAATCTCGTTAAAAGTAACAACGTCTGTGATCATGAAAGTTTAGAACAATATACCACTATTTATTATTTCAAAACGTAAAACGAAAATGAAAAACGACGCGAGCGTTCCGGAGCCCTGTACTTGAGCACTGGCACCGACGTGTGACCTTTTTTAGTGTGAGTGTGTATGCTGTTGTCGCAGTTGACCTTTACAGCGTCACCGGGTTTGGGGACGGCGAGATCCTAAGGGGACCTCAAGCTGAGAATTGGCAAGTGCCTCTAGAGGTATTCCAGGCGGATGGCATCTCCCCACGGGGGGAGTCTCCTCTCCGTCTGGAGCCGCTAGACCACTCGAACCTGAGGGGTCGGCTCAACTAGAGTCTCTGAGAACTAGAGGACGTGTGACTGCGTACGTGACAGGCAGCCAGTAGTCATTCATTCATACACGCGCGTCTTGCTTGTAGTATTGAAATAATCGCAGCGCGGTTGTATGAAGCTTTGTCTCCGTACGTCTTTCTACTCATGTGATTGATAATACACCTTCTGATTAAGGTTGCTACCCGTACTCCATAATAGTTACTTATAATCTACGACACCATTATAGTAC